GAGAAGCTGTCCCATTCTTCAGAAAGCTCTATTTTAAAAACAAAAATAGAGAAAGAGGTGTGGAAATGGTGTTATTTTCTGAACTTTCATTGAAAATATATCATAGCCACATGATAACAATTTGTGGAAACAAAGAAAGAAAAAAGAAAGTTGAATGCTATCACTATAATTCCCACTGTTTGTATCAGAATATTTTTCCTCCCTTCTTATATTCTGTGCATATGTATGTTTTAGATGGCTAAGATCATACCATTAATAGGAATTTATAACCTGATTTTGGGGGGGGCTTGACTTTAGTTCGTTTTGTACATGTAAGCATATGAGTCCTCAAAGAGATATGAAAATTAAATCATATTTTCCCACACATTAGACAAATTGCAGTTTTCAAAATGATAAAATTAGATGCAATCAGACCTGACCCTGAAAATCCATAGCATTTGATCTCCATAGGTCTGATTGACTCTGCTGGCAGATGGAAGGAACTTCAAGTCTCTCAATCGCTGGCAAACTGCAAGGTGGGGGCTGGCAGGAAGAGAGGAAAAGAAGATGCTCTAGGGTCACCACCTACCACTGGAGTCACTTGTCCTTTCACCATCCATCTCGTACACAGTGGGCCAGCCCCTGCTTCTGGGCACTCAAGATGGTTAAAAATGGAACTGCAATAGGATACATCCTTATGAAGAACTGGGGAAACAGTTGAGAGCTGAAGAGAATCTATCTTTATTTTCAGAACCTCTTCCACCTCTAAATGAGAGCCTCCATGGGAAAGAAACCTTGAGACCAGATACTTGCAAGGGTGTTACTCAAAATAACTTACAAATGCTATGGTAATTTAAATCAATATACACATCAGCATATAAGTCTATATATATATATATATATATATACACACACTCCTTTTTGTCCCTGAAAAAGCAATTTATGATAAAATTATTTCACACATGATAGAAGTTGTAGCTTAACAACCTACTTCTATTAAAGTGTGTAGAAGACAGTCTTTGATATGATTTCTAAACACGTTTGCAGCTCTGTCGCCACAGGGAGCCTGTTGAGGTCCAAGTATTCTTTCTATTTCCATCACTTCGATGTCTAGTTTTTCAGAATGTTAGTTCACTCTGCCGGTTAGTTTGAAGTAAGATGGTAAACATTAAGTTTATTGAGGAAAGACTTTTGAATATTTACCTTACATCTTTTTGTGCACTAGCCAGAGATAACTGAACCTGATGACTTACCACCAAAGTAAAACATCTGGGAAATTATGACAGGTGGGTTAAAATCCCAGACTTTCTCCATGGTATTACAGTGGTAGCACCTTTTCAAATTACAGTACATGCTCATCTGAGCATTTTCCCATTAACCCCATTCTCTCAAGCACAGACTATGAAGTTTGGTCATTTATTTCAGATGGTGGTGTTCCTTTCAAACTTCACACGTTAAGTGAAATTGCACAATGCTTTTTGATTAAAGTCGTTGCAAGGTGAACACTGGCCCAGGACTATCCCGATTTGAGCACTGTAAGCCCTGTGTCCCAGGAAACCTCTCCCTGGGACATGAGAAGTCCTGGGTTTCACAGATGGGTGCAGAATGTCTGGGGGAAGTACAGAACTCTCGTGGAGGGCCCCAACATAGGGGCTGAACCAATAGTGCTTTTAGTGTCAAATGAATTACAGCCTTCTAGGAAAGGCTGTTGCTGTGGCTGTTCTGTCCCCTGACTGTTGATATTGACAGCCATGATTTGGGGTTCACAGTAATGGATCATGCATTGTTGCATCACCGTGTGGTGCGACTTGAGTGTGAAACTTAAGCATATTGTATTCCCGAGCATGAGTCCCCAGCCTGGCACTCAGTAGACACGCAGAGAACAGCTTGTGAATGAATTTCCAGGTATTTGTCCCACTGGTAAACACATAGATGTGGAAATGATGTTGCACAAGTATATTCCTTGCAGCATTGATTGCAATGACAAAAAGTAGAACATAACCCAATTATCTCCCATAAAGCAACTGGTTAAAATGATCAAGGCCAGTAATTTTAAGCAGCCACTGAAATAGAAAGCAACACTTTATGTTCTTTTTTCCCCCAAACTATAACCACTATAGTGCAATTTTAAAGGAATGATTTGTTAAACAAATATTGCACATATTTGAGGTGTAGAAAATGACGTTTTGATACATATGTACGTATACATGTAAATGATTACTACAGTCAAACTAATTACATATTATATCTTCACAGTTACCATTTTTGTGCCTGTGAAAATAGCAACTACTCTCTTAGAAATATCAGTATGCTATACAGTATCATTAACTATAGTCATCATGTACATTAGATCCCCATACTCACTCATCCTACACAGCTGCAACTTTGTAATTCTTTATGTTCTGATGTAGAATGCTTTCCAGGAGGTACTGTTAGTTTTTAAAACTCTAAGAACCACGTTTCTATTATTGCTGCTATTTATGTTAAAAA